TAGGAGGTGGAAAAAGTGATTAATTGCAACCAATTTCTGGTTTGGAAGAAATTTCAGAAAATTAGGGTTCTTGTGGGAGCATTCTGGCCGAATTTTTAGCTCCTAGTTAGAGGCCGAATTGGCCTTAGATTAAAACATGAAAGTTGTAGGTAATGACATTTTAGAGGTGCCTACAAAATTTCAGGTCAATCGGAGTAGTGTAGAATGAGAAAAGTCAAAATTACCCTTGCTGTCCTGGTTTTATCCGAATGTAAGAATTGCGCCTGTAATTGGTTGTTTTGGCTGGAATTGCTTCCGAATTGGTTGTTGAGGCCTTCTGATGAAATTTATCCCTGTTTCTTAGCTTTCAGCTGGTTTTGGAATTTCTGGATTTGGACTTGGAGAGCCTGAGTTATGATGTTTCCGCTAGAATGCATTTTGGTGAATCTGTTTTACGTTTTTGATGTAGTATCTTACATTTTCGACCTATTTGCACTCAAAACTGGGTTGAGTGACCTTCTGTGATGTTGTAGCCCTGTTGTTTAGCTTCGAAATGGTGGGTCTTGTACCCTCATCCAATAATCGTAGTGAAATTGGTGCCATTACCGCAAAATGAGGTCAAAAACTGTTTTTTCAGGGCTAAAGGTAATTCCATTTCCGGATTTTTCTGGTTTCCTCTAATGCTTATATATGCTTATGGAACCCTATTGTGATCATGTTGGCATTGGTTTATGACTTGTAATCGAGTCTTCTTGTGCTTATTGGAATATTCTAGGGCTTGACTTTTATTTCCGGTCATTTTCCTAGCTAACTTTTGTACTTGGATAACCTTGAGCCTATTGAACGGCTGTGGTGATGAATGTATATTGAGTATGACTTTGGGAGTTGATTGAGGAAAATAATGAAGCCGTGATGGCTGGAAAAGGAAGAAATTTAGGGGAAGTGCTGTCCAATTTTTCTAGGCCGATTGGTTCCTTTAAGTTTGAATTGGCATGTGATAGAAATGAAGGGCTTTTGGGTTGTTGAACCTAGGTCTTCATGTTACCTTTTTGTTCCCAAAAATCATGTTTTGTACCCTTGCATTAGTAATTATTTGGCGAGGCATACGACTAGTAGTCGAGCCTCACATGTGCATTTTGTTTACTCGATTCTGGATGTGAAACCTTCAATTGATTTACTTTGATTATTTTAGGGTTTCTTGGCGATTAAAGCCAATCCGAAGTGAAAATTTTTGAGGTATCTGTACTTGAACCGGTGAGTGTACCACTCCCCTCCATTACTGTTTAACTTGATTTCTGCTCTGCAATCTGTTTAATTTGTTTGAGACGAGGGTGTACTTTATCACACTCGTTCTCTTGTCTGTTCATATGCCAATTTTGGTGTCAATCTGAATCTGAATCTGTATCTGATATCTGTATCTGTATCTGTTCGGACGTCGTTTGGAAACTTGTAACCAACGACCTTTCTGTGACCTATGAGCTCAAATCCTGTGGCTAAATTATTCGAGTCGGGCCGGCAAGGGCCTGGACGATTAGATAACGAACCACGGTAGTCTGTTTTGGGATCTTTGGGTATTGAGACCCTTGATTCCGGTATACTCGAGTATTACCATTTCTGTTTCTGTTGAGGTGAGCGGGCCCGGTAAAGGGGTGTTTGGTGGACGGAATTTGGTGTAAAGTGGGGTCTACGGACGTGTTGGTTCTATATACGTTGACGGAGAGTCAACCGGCTTGGATCAAGTACTGCGCTGGAAAGCTGGCTCCTGAGAGCCACCTGTATCCTTCCTATTTGAGTTCTTGTGTTTACCTGTCTTACTTTATAGCGAGCATGTGTATCTGGTTTTGTATAACGTGAAATACCTGATTTTTCTGCTACATGTTTGGTACCTCATTGGGCGTAAGCTCACCCCCTCCTCGTTATCTTTGTTTTCCTTACAGGAATCTCTTTTGGAAATCATGATTTTGAGAAGCGAGTTGAGCTAGTTAGAAAATCTTTTGTTCTTTTGTATAGCTCCTCGAGAATGAGCAAACCCTAAATGTATTTCGTTTCACTGGTTCCATTTGAATTGTAAACCTAGTGACATGTATATATGAAAGCGTTTTCCCCATGTTTAAGCTTGGCGGTCTTCAATCGCTCATTTCTTTTGGGTCCTCTCACGTAATATCGGATTTGTGTGATTCGACTCCGTAGTCCTGGCGAGAGCTGGGCAGGCGGTCCGCTGAATCCTTTGGTTCGCCTTAGGGTGAGGTGGGGCTGTCACAGGTGGTATCAGAGCCACTTCGCATGGTCTCTGCGCGGAGTGAGCCTAGGGCCAAGTGGTGTTATGTCCTGATTTCCAAACAATTTAACCAATTAAACTTGGATTTCCTCCATAAAACCTCTTAGTTTAGTGGTATTAAGGTTGGTTGTGAAGTGGTTTGGAAGACCAAGGTGCTAAGTTGCTTCCTTTCTTGAGTTGCTAAGGTGAGTTGTGAAGAATCACTCTCCTTCCTTAGTTGATGCTTAAATCATGATTAGTGGTGGTGTGAGATGCAAGTTTATGGATTATTTCTTGATTTGTGGTTGAAGTGATGAAGTTTTATTATTTTTAGGGATTTTTCTGTTTTAAAATAAGCATGATTGTGTAGCTATATATGATGATTGGAAATAGTATATAATGATTCTAGAAGGTGGAAAAAGTGGAAGATTGCAAGTAATTTCTGGTTTGGATGAAATTTCAGAAAACTAGGGTTCTTGAGGGGGCATTCTGTCCGAAATTTTAGGTCCTAGTTAGAGGCCGAATTAGCCTTGGCTTAAAACATGAAAGTTGTAGGGAATGACATTTTAGAGGTTCCTAAAAAATTTCAGGTCAATCAGAGTAGTGTAGAATGAGAAAAGTCGAAATTACTATTGCTGTTCTGGTTTACCCGAAATTGGGATTTGCGACTGTAATTGGTTGTTTTGGCTGGAATTGCTTCCGAATTGGATGTTGAGACCTTCTGATGAAATTTAGTCCTATTTCTTAGCTTTCAGCTGGTTTTGGAATTTCTGGATTTGGACTTGGAGAGCCTGAGTTATGATGTTTCCGCTAGAATGCGTTCTGTGAATCTATTTTTGTGATTCTGGTGTAGTATCTTGCATATTTGACCTGGTTACACTAGAAACTGGGTTGATTGACCTTCTGTAATATTGTACCCCTATCTCTTAAACGGTGGGTCTTGCACCTTCATCCGACAATCGTACCGCCTTTGGTACTATTACCGCAAAATGACGTCAAAGCTATTTTTCTGGTTTTGAGCTTAACTTTCATTTCCGAACTTTTCCCTAGCTTGACTTGTACTAGTACTACTTGGAGCTTTTTGAATGGCTATTAGATGAACTTGTTGTTGTGTGTGTACCTTTGGGACTGGCTGAGGAAATAATGAAGCTATGATGGCTGGAAAAGTAAGCAAATTTAGGGGAAGTGCTGTCCGAACTTTTAAAGGACTTGTTTGCATTGAGTTTGTGATCTAAGACTTGGATTTGAGCAAGGCAATGATATATGATGGATGGTTGCTGAGCCATGGAGGTGAGTGACCTCAAACTATTTCTGAAGTTATTTATGAACCGTTTCCTGCATTATTTACTTTTGAGCTGATTCCAAAGTTACTTTCGTACCGTTTTCTTGCATTATTTACCTTTAAACTGTTTCCAAAGTTACTTTTGAACTGTTTTCTTGCATATCATGCGAGCTTGCATGTGAGTGTTCCTTATTTGTTATATTTTCTTGACTTCATGACTTGTATTATTGATTGATAACGTGTTAAGTGCTTTGAATGATTTCCAAAACGAGCTTTCTAGGTGAGTGTGTACTTTATCGCACTCGACCTAAATAACTGTGCAATTTTCAAGGATTTAATTATTGAAATGCTAGTTGCGCATGAATGTAAGCCGTTTGGCTGAATTGGCCACTGCCCTTTGTTACCGATCGACTCGAGCCAGAAGCGGACTCGGTCGGGCGATATGGTGACCCTGGATGAATTTGGTATACTCGAGTATTACCTTGTAGTCCGGCTACGTCCGGATGGGTGGAGTCCGGCCAATGGTCGGATGGGTGGAGTCCGGTCAACGTCCGGAAAAGGGATGAACAAACAAAAGGATGAACGAGGGATTCTACTTACAAAAAAAATGTATTTTCAAACGATTGGAGGAATAAGGGGAAATGTCAGGGGAACTAACGAACAAACGAATAGCTCCATGTGAGCCTGTATCCTTTTAATGAATGTTACTATCGCTTTCCATTGTAAATGTTCCTTGAATTATTGATACTCCATTTTAATGTATTGTAAATGTTGTAATTGTTTCTGGACTTATCATTTGATTTATGACATCATTGAAATGAACTATTGTGAAATCGATTTGATTATTGATTTTAATGATTACTCGCTGAGCTTCTAGCTCACCCCAAAAATATTTTATTCCCCTCCACAGGGTTCGTGGCGAAGGAAGGACTTGTAGTACTTGTTCACGTGACTGGATGGCATATCTCTTGTATAATTTGGATTTGGAATCATTTTATGTATAGTTGAGAATCATTTCCGCTTTGCTTATGACATGTAATTATTGGAGACTTGGATGTATGTTTGTGGACCATGTGATGTATATTTGAGATTTATATTGTAATTCACTTGAGGATTGTAGTGATCGACTGAGTCCCGGCGAGAGCTGGGCAGGCGACCCGCCGAACCCTGGGGTACGCCCTAGGGGGAGGTGGGGCCGTCACAACCGCAGCTAATTCCAAGTCGTGAGTCGGGTAATTTTGCTCATGGGGTTTCAATTTTCGGGATTCATAGGCTATCACTTGTCCATTTTGCATAAGTACACATCCTAAACCCATTCGAGACGCATCCGTATATACCACAAAGTTGTCTTTCCCGTTAGGCAAAGTAAGAATCGGTGCAGAAGTTAATCGCCCTTTTAGCTCTTGAAAACTAGTCTCGCACTTCGAAGTCCAGATAAATTGATTGTGAATTTTAGTCAAGTCCGTCAGAGGTCCAGCTATCTTAGAAAAAGTCCTTTATGAAGCGGCGATAATATCCTGCAAGCCCTAAGAAACTTCTAACTTCAATTGGGCTCTCTGGCCGTTTCCATTCTGTGACGGCTTTCACCTTAGCGGGGTCCACCGCTATACCATCCCTAGAAATCACGTGTCCAAGGAAAGACACCTTGTCCAGCCAGAATTCACACTTACTAAACTTAGCATATAATTGGTGCTCCTTAAGAGTCTGTAGCACTAACCTCAAATGCCGTTCATGATCTTCATGAGTTTTCGAGTAGACCAGAATATCATCAATAAATACCACAACAAATTGGTTTAGGTAAGGTTTGAAGACTCGGTGCATTAAGTCCATAAATGCGACTGGAGCATTTGTCAATCCAAAGGGCATGACTACAAATTCAAAATGCCCGTACAGCGAATTAAACCCGGTCTTAGGGATATCCTCCTTCCGGATCCTTAGTTGGTAATATCCTTGTCGAAGATCCAGCTTAGAAAATACAACTGCACCCTGCAGTTGGTCAAATAACTCATCAATCAGTGGTAGGGGATATTTGTTCTTAATCGTGAGATTATTTAGTCCCCGGTAATCGATGCACATCCGTAACCTCCATCTTTTTTCTTTACAAATAGTACCGAGACTGTGATAGCCCCACCTCACCCTAAGACGAACCAAAGGGTTCAGCGGACCGCCTGCCCAACTCTCGCCAGGACTACGGAGTCGAATCACACAAATCCGATATTACGCGAGATAGGACCCAAAAGAAATGAACGATTGAAGACCGCCAAGCTTAAACATGGGGAAAACGCTTTCATATATACATGTCGCTAGGTTTACAATTCAAATGGAACCAGTGAAACGAAATACATTTAGAGTTTGCTCATTCTCGAGGAGCTATACAAAAGAACAAAAGATTTTCTAACTAGCTCAACTCGCTTCTCAAAATCATGATTTCCAAAAGAGGTTCCTGTAAGGAAAACAAAGTAACAGAAAGGGGGTGAGCTTACGCCCAATGAGGTACCAAACATGTAGCAAAAAAATCAGGCATTTCACGTTATACAAATCAGATACACATGCTCGCTATAAAGTAAGACAGGTAAACACAAGAACTCAAATAGGAAGGATACAGGTGGCTCTCAGGAGCCAGCTTTCCAGCGCAGTACTTGATCCAAGCCGGTTGACTCTCCGTCAACGTATATAGAACCAACACGTCCGTAGACCCCACTTTACACCAAATTCCGTCCACCAAACACCCCTTTACCGGGCCCGCTCACCTCAACAGAAACAGAAATGGTAATACTCGAGTATACCGGAATCAAGGGTCTCAATACCCAAAGATCCCAAAACAGACTACCGTGGTTCGTTATCTAATCGTCCAGGCCCTTGCCGGCCCGACTCGAATAACTTAGCCACAGGTTTGAGCTCATAGGTCACAGAAAGTCGTTGGTTACAAGTTTCCAAACGACGTCCGAACAGATACAGATACAGATATCAGATACAGATACAGATTCAGATTGACACCAAAATTGGCATATGAACAGACAAGAGAACGAGTGTGATAAAGTACACCCTCGTCTCAAACAAATTAAACAGATTGCAGAGCAGAAATCAAGTTAAACAGCAATGGAGGGGAGTGGTACACTCACCGGTTCAAGTACAGATACCTCAAAAGTTTTCACTTCGGATTGGCTTTAATCGCCAAGAAACCCTAAAATAATCAAAGTAAACCAATTGAAGGTTTCACATCCAGAATCGAGTAAACAAAATGCACATGTGAGGCTCGACTACTAGTCGTATGCCTCGCCAAATAATTACTAATGCAAGGGTACAAAACATGATTTTTGGGAACAAAAAGGTAACATGAAGACCTAGGTTCAACAACCCAAAAGCCCTTCATTTCTATCACAAGCCAATTCAAACTTAAAGGAACCAATCGGCCTAGAAAAATTGGACAGCACTTCCCCTAAATTTCTTACTTTTCCAGCCATCACGGCTTCATTATTTTCCTCAATCAACTCCCAAAGTCATACTCAATATACATTCATCACCACAGCCGTTCAATAGGCTCAAGGTTATCCAAGTACAAAAGTTAGCTAGGAAAATGACCGGAAATAAAAGTCAAGCCCTAGAATATTCCAATAAGCACAAGAAGACTCGATTACAAGTCATAAACCAATGCCAACACGATCACAATAGGGTTCCATAAGCATATATAAGCATTAGAGGAAACCAGAAAAATCCGGAAATGGAATTAGTTTTAGCCCTGAAAAAACAGTTTTTGACCTCATTTCGCGGTAATGGCACCAATTTCACTACGATTATTGATGAGGGTACAAGACCCACCATTTCGAAGCTAAAAGATAGGGCTACAACATCACAGAAGGTCACTCAACCCAGTTTTGAGTGAAAACAGGTCAAAAATGCAAGATACTACATCAAAAACGTAAAGCATATTCACCAAAATGCATTCTAGCGGAAACATCATAACTCAGGCTCTCCAAGTCCAAATACAGAAATTCCAAAACCAGCTGAAATCTAAGAAATAGGGCTAAATTTCATCAGAAGGCCTCAACAACCAATTCGGAAGCAATTCCAGCCAAAACAACCAATTACAGGGGCAATTCTTACATTCGGATAAAACCAGGACAGCAAGGGTAATTTCGACTTTTCTCATTATACACTACTCCGATTGACCTGAAATTTTGTAGGCACCTCTAAAATGTCATTCCCTACAACTTTAATGTTTTAAGCTAAGGCCAATTCGGCCTCTAACTAGGAGCTAAAAATTCGGACAGAATGCTCCCTCAAGAACCCTAATTTTCTGAAATTTCTTCCAAACCAGAAATTGGTTGCAATTAATCACTTTTTCCACCTCCTAGAGTCATTATATACCATTTCCAATCATCATAGATAACCACCCAATCATGCTTATATTAAAACAGAAAAATCTCCAAAAATAATAAAACTTCATCACTTCAACCACAAATCAAGAAATAATCCATAATATTGCATCTCATACCACCACTAATCATGATTTAAGCATCAATTAAGGGAGGAGAGGGGTTCATCCACTACTCACCTTAGTAAAACAAGAGGGAGAGCAACTTGTCACCTTAGCTTCCCAAAAACTCCACCAAACAACTCACAAACACTAAGTGAAGAGGTTTTATGGAGTAATTGCAAGATCAAATGGTTGGATGGTTCAACTTGAGCAAGATTGGAGCTAAAACTTGAAGAGTTTTCTTTCTTTCTTGAGAGAGAGAGGTTCGGCCAAGCTTGCAGAAATTTAGGGGCTTTTTGGGTCAAAATTGAGTATTAGTAAAGGTAAGAAATAATGGTCAAAGTCAAGGTTGAATAGGAAGGTGACACGTGTCACCCTTTTTAATGCAACTCTATCCTTTTGTCTCTCCAATGATAGTCCATCTAGGTATCCTCTAATTATCTTTTAACATCTGATAATTAAACCCAGTATACAAAACTTAACCTAGTTGGCCGAAATTTTCCAAATTTTCCGCACTAGCGGGTCCCACGTCCAATATACGCTCTTAATTTCTCAAAAACTAACCGATACTAGAAAAATCATTTAAAAGCTATATTTACTCATAAAATTTATTTGCACAATTTTTTGAATAAAGAAAAGGTGGAAAAACGTATAATTAAAAGAAATTAAAACCTAGAAATGAAGAAAATTACGGGTCCTCACAGAGACTCCCCAAGGAGATTCACTTTCCTGAATAAATCCTCGATCCAATAATTCCTGCAACTGTATTTTCAATTCCTTCAGTTCCGCAGGAGCCATGCGGTAAGGGGTTTTCGATATTGGTTCCGTCCCTGGGTGCAGATCAATCTTAAATTCGATTTCTCTTTCCGGCGGTAGTGAGGTCAACTCTTCGGGAAACATCTCAAGATACTCACACACCACCGGCACATTTTCTACTTTTAATTGCTCTCCTGGGGTATTAATCAACATGGCCAAAAACCCTCGAGCACCCTTACTTAGCAATTTCTGGGCCCGAATCCCAGAAATAAGAGTGGTAGAGGCTAACTTTCCTCGTAAATCTAATTGCAATGTAGGCCCACCCGGTATGTGCAAGTCAACCTTTTTCGTACTGCAGTCTAGGCGTTCATGATACTTAGCTAGCCAATCCATACCTAATATAAGATCGTACCCCTTAAGAGCTAATTCTATTAAATCTACCGATAACTTTCGTTCCCCTATCCACACGTCACAGCCTTTGTACATCATATTGGCAAGGATGCTCTTATTGGTAATGGGAGTCTTTATTTCCAAATCATATGGCAGCTTTTCTGCTTTAATAACTATATGTGCCATAAATGCAGGACTCACAAAAGAATGGGTAGCACCAGGATCTATTAACACCCTTGCGGTACGCCGAAATATAGAAAGCGTACCTTCGATGACTGCCGAAGGGTCAATCACCTCCTGATGGCCCATAGCATAAACCCGCGCAAGCACTTTCGGTCGATTCTCTGCTGCATTTACTGGTTTTGGCGTAGTCCCTTCTGCCCGTGAAGTGCTTCCTTCAGTCCGCATATTTGGGCATTGTGCAATCATGTAACAGCCCCACCTTCCCCTAAGGCGAACCAAAGGGGTTAGCGGACTGCCTGCCCAGCTCTCGCCAGGACTAACGGATCAGTTTACGTCGATCTACTACGTTCCGGACACAACAACGCGCGCCAACAAGTCAAAATCACAAAATAAAAAAAAATGAAAATCGAAGCCGATGATGAACAGTACCGGCCACGTCAGAATCCGGAGCTCAACCAAACATCAATCCAACATATACATACATTGAAATTCAACATTTACAACCAAATGGCATGCCAAAACCATTCATCATGAATATACAGGTTCGGTTTGCCAATAAAAAGAAACTGAACCCAATACCCATTAGGGTTTCATTCAAAGAGCTATTCAAAAGATACATTTACATGAGCTCAACTTGACAACCATCTAACACAATCTTTTCCAAAAGTGGTCATTTTCCTGTAAGGAAAACAAATGGAACGGAATGAGCTTAAGCCCAGTGAGTTACTACCACATAAGCAACAAAGAGCATATAGCATGACCTTTCAATTAAAGTACACAATTAAGGAATGAAACAAAACGGTAAAAGGATACGGACGGCTCTCAAGAGCCCATTTCCACGCTTACAGTCTTGATCCAACCTCATTGACCCTCCGTCAATGTTAAGAGTACCAAACCGTAGACCTCACTTCACTTCCATTCCTTCCACCCAACATTCCCCAACCGGGCCCGCACTCCAATCAGTAGCTTTTGGTAATACTCGAGTATACCGGAACCAAGAGTCTCATTACTACAAGATTCCCCAGTACAGTCCCCGTGGCATGTCAATTTTCACGACCAAGCCCTCGCCGGCTCGATTCAATTGACTACCTACGGGGTTGAGCTCGGTAATACAGTAAGGCCGTTGGATATTCATCCAAACGACACCAAATCAGTTTTCCATGAATGGAATTCAATATCTCATATAGCAAGTGCAGTATTTCAGTAAAACGGTAAACAGTCATGAATGGAATCACAAGGGGGTGAGGGCGGTCAAGTACACCCTCACCTCAATCACTTCCAATAGCCAAATAAGCCTTCAAGGCATCAAATTCACATATAACAAAGCCACTTTGTAACATTTAAGTGAGTAGTATACTCACCACTCAAGTAGGTGATGTTTCATGCACCGTCGTTAAACGAACGTCGTGCACCACCGTCACTTCCTAGAACATGCAAACAAGTGCAATGAGACTCGATAATGAGTCATAAAGCAATGCCAATCACAACCCCAATAGGGTTTATAAACATATATAAGCATCATAGGTAACCAGAATTTCAAAAAAAAATGGCATTAGCTTTGGCCCTGAATAAAAACAGTTTTGTCCTTATTTTGCAGTAATGGCACCAATTTCACTACGATTATCAGATGAGGGTGTAACACCCACCGTTTCGAAGCTAAGAACCAGGGCTACAACAATGTAGAAGGTCACTCAGTCCAATTCCTATCACAACCAGGTCAAATATGCAAGACACTAAACCAGAACCACAAAAACAGGTTTACAAACTTCATCCTGCTGTAATCAGTACAACTCAGTTTGTACAGGTCCAAATTCGGAAATTCCAAAGGCATATGGTAGCTAAGACATCAAGCTACATTTCATCAGAAGACCTGAACAACCAAATCCAAAGCAATTCCAGTCAAAACAGCCAATTACAGGCGCAGTTCTGCCATCCTGATGAACCCAGAACAGCAATAGTAATTTCGACATTTCTCCCTCTACACTACTCCAAATGACCTGAAATTTTACAGCCACCTCAAACATATCAATACCTACAACTTTCATGTTTTAAGCAAAGGCCAATTCGGCCTCTAACCATATGATACAAAACCGGACAGAAAAGGGGGTTATGAAACCCTAACTTTTCACATTTCCTTCCAAATCCAAAATTGGTTGCAATTACCAATCATTTACACCTACTAGAGTCATTAAACATCATTTCCAACCATCATGGACAGCCACAACCTCATGATCAAATTAAACCAGAAAAATCACCATTAAATTGAAAACTTCATCATTTAATCCAAAAGCAAGAAATAAATCACAAATGTCATCACTTTAGCTTCCACTAAGCACAACTCAAGCTTCATTAAGTGTAGGAGGAAGTTCAAACACCACTTACCTAGAACACAAGAGAGAGAGAGTTGTAGGACACCTTAGCTTCCTTGAACACTTCCACAAAATCACTTACTAGCACCAAATGGAGGGATTTTATGGAGTAGAAACAAATTTCAGCAATTGGTTTGGATGATTTGCACTGGATGGTAGCTAAAATTTTGAAGAGTTCTCTTCCTTCCTTTGCCCAAGAGTGCCGACCAAGAGGGAGAAGAAAAGAGTGAATTTTGGTGATTTTTTTTGAGATATTTAATCACTTGGTAAGACAAGTCAAAAAGTGAATAGTTGTCAACAAAGACAACCAATGGCCATGTGACACTTGTCACTCCATAAATGCAAGTCTATCCTTCTTTTTCCCTCTCACATCGATCACTTCACCTCCTCTACTTATCTCTTAACACCCGATAAATTCCACCCAGTATCCGAAACTTAACCTAACTGGCCGAATTTTCCGAACTTTTCGCGCTAGTGGGTCCCACATCCATAATAGATTCTTAATTTTTCAAAAAACTATCCAATACTAGAAAAATCATCTAAAAACTATATCTGCTCATTAAAAATATCTAGAAAATTTTCCTACTAAAAAAAATGCAGAAAACAAACCATTAAATAAATAAAATCCTAGAAAATGGGAAAAGTACAGGTTCTCACAAATCAGGTGCTCTGTACTGCCACACTTAAAGCATTTCCTAACTGCACTATTTTTCCAGCAATCATCCGCAATATGATTGCCTCCGCAAAAATCACAGGTCAGTCTCGTCCCTGTAGTCTCCCCTCCTCTGTGGCCACCTCTTTGGGGCCACCTCTTTAGGGCCCTCGCCCCGCTTGTCCCCTTCCGGCATTTCCCTGGTTTGAAATCCCCCCCGGTCGTGGACCTCCTGCTCCCTACCCATTTTAGTGGGCGGCTCGTTCCTCGAGCTTTGTCCGACACTAAAGTTTCCGGTACCCGGCTGCCTTCTCTTTCTATCATGGAATGCCTTTACTTGACTCTGGGCTGTCTCAATCCTCTGCGCTTTTTCCAACGCCTGACTAAAGGTTTCCAACTGAGCAGTCGCCAACGCCTCTTGAATCTCCACGTTCAACCCCTGAACAAAACAGCGGATCCGCTTCTGCTCTGTTAACACCAAATTTGGAGCGAAATGAGACAATTTAGTGAATTGGGTCTCGTATTCGGCAACACTTAGCGCCCCTTGGCGCAGGCGAATGAAACCGTCCTTCCATCTCTCTTGTACTATCGGCGGAAGGTATTTCTCATTAAATTTCCTGGTAAAGTTAATCCAGGTCCAGGTGGTCCGCTCTCGTTCCCATTTTGCTTTTACCACATTCCACCATGCCCGAGCTGGCCCTTCGAATTGAAAGGTAGAGAACGATACTTGCCACTCCTCCATATATCCCAAGGCGGCAAAAATATCCAACATTCGCTCCAGCCAGCCCTCCGCCACGTCAGGGCTGGGTCCTCCTATGAATTTAGGGGGTGAAAATTTTTGAAACCGCTCTAAACCGCGGTCCTCTCCCTCATGGTTCCCCCTGCTACTCCCAGGGTTTCCGCTGTTATTTCCCTGACCCTGGCCCTGCTGGGCGACCATTTGCTCAAGTAAATCAGCCATTCGTTGGATGGCTGTAGTTACCTGGTTACTTTCAAGTTCACTTTCTACCTCGAGGCCTCGACTGTGAGAACCTTGAAATATATATAATTATCGATGCATATTTCATTTGCATTTTTAATTCTTTAATAATTTCTAGCATTATAACTACTTGTTTTTAAATAAGAGTGTAAAGATAATTTTTATGTAATAAATAATATAATTGTGCCAAAATATTGACATACTTGGTTTCGCTATGTTAAATTAATATTTCTTGAGTTAGAGTAATTTTAATGCCTTAATATAAATTCTTCGAAATTTCGATAGCTCATTTTAATCCCTAATAAGGTTAAGTGTTAATTGGAACTTAGCATTATAACAAAACCGATATAAGTATACTAAGTATACTTAGGACATAAAAATTTTGATAATTGAACTCTCGTAAGATTAGTACATTATTAGGCATTCAAATTACATTTGGGGTAAATTTTGGGAATTAGATTAGAATTGAGGTCTTAGGTGGAAATTCGGAGGAAATGTGAAATGACTAAAATAGCCTCCACAATTTCGGAAAATTTCCATGCAACCATTCGAGCTCCATTGGCCACTCTTCAAATCAGAACATTTCCATTCTCTGCCGGACTGCATTTCTTCTCCACTCGCACACTCAACTCCCTCATTCGTAACTTATCTCCATCTTATCTCCACTACCACAACTACAAAGCACCAAACAACTCCATTTTACATTCTTCTTCTGCCCTGGACAGAGAGAGAGAGAGAGAGAGAGAGAGAGCCTTGTGAGCTGCTACCTTGATAATATCGACAGAGAGAGAGACAAATCAACCTCTCTTCACCGCGAATCACCTCTCTCAAACACTCCACCTAACCTCGTGAGTATCGACCGTGAGAAGAGAGTTGCCTGCTGCATCCGAGAGTAAGAAAAAGAAAACCCCGAGCTGCAGTTTTTCTGTTCTGTCCGGGAGCTAGAGGGAAGAAAGGAGAGAAACACTGCGTGAGTTCCTTCTGCATTTTCTTAACCTCAACCAGCTGCTGATCGTCACCATCTTCATCAGTTCCAACCGCAACTCCACAGCTGCAACCATCGAGTGCGTAAGCTGTCCGAGAGAGGAGGAAACTTGACAGCTTTTGTGCCACGCGTATAAGCTTCAGTTCGAGGTAAATCTTAGACTTAGACTGACCAACTACAAGTAGGTGAAGATGATAAGGAGCTTGCATGTAATGTTTAAGCGTTCGGATGAGTAATTGA